CCCTATTCTGGACTCTATTGTGTACCCGTTCTACCCGCGGAGAGCTGTAGAGAACCTGGTTTTAGAGAGCACGTCTCAGCGTGTGTTGCTCGACCAATTCAAGAGCTGTCAACTCTCTGCGCCTCGTACTCTCTCCGCTTCTTCAGTAGATAGTATGGGCAACACAGCTGCTCTGCTATCTCCTATCGCAACGGTATCCCAATCAGCTCGAAGCCGCAATGCTTTCAAGGGATCAATCCGTTGCGGCGGCTTTTCCTAAATTTTAAACCCATCGTAGTACCCTAAAGTCTCCTTTATACATTTTACAAAGCACGTTGCTTGTTTATCCCTCCTTTCGTCTATTGTCAGGTTTAGTTGCCCGTGTGCTGCGCCATCCAGTGCTGCACCCACGTGAGCACACGCTCGATGTTGCTCTCCATGTCCTCGACAGTGCGGCTCGGCAATTCCTGCACAATCTCGGGTGCATAGCTCTCTCGTGCCTCCTGCAGTACTACCTCCATGATCTCACATTCGACGTTCTCGGCCACTTTTTTCTCCGAATACCCGCGCTTCTGCAGGCGGTCGAAGAGCGTCGTGTTGTCCACACGAAGCACCACCACTAGGTCGAACCAACGCTCAGGAAAGAAGTCACACGGACGCATGCAAGACCTACACCAGGCTTTGTAAGGAGTCCGTCAACTCCCTCTCAGCGGACATGGTGGCAGGTCCTGCGGGTGATACGACGCTACATTAGTGGAGCAAACTGCATCACCATTAAAGGGGGCACCGCTCTCCTCGTCCCTTTTCGGATCGAGCTGATGGTCTGCATAAGCTCTCATTAATGTATTTGCTCGTTTGACCCCAAGGATTGTGGAAAATCCAACTTTTAAGTAGCAACATGATTAAACACATGACTAAACTTCACTAAACCTGAAGGTCGCGTTCCAGCAACCGGATTGATGCGCATTAAACCGTTTTGTAATTTAAAGTTAAAAAAAACCGGTTAAACTGATAAAACAGCCTGTTTAACAATGATGGCGGAGAGGTTGATTTCCAACTTCTCGCTAATGGCACACATCCAGTATGACGAATCG